ATATATATGTGGTGTGTCTGTCTGTCCATGGTGTCTTGGTCCTTCCGGGAGAACATCTCAAAAACTACTGGACCGATTAATCTCAAACTTTTACACATTGACAATATTACGTGTATCTCGGTCCTCCTCGAATTTGGTGCTCATCAGAAGATGAATATTTTAAAACGTAATTACCTTTTTAACCTCTCTCCCATGAAGTAGGGAAGAGAGTATTGCAATGAGCTCCGCTGTGTCTGTCGTTCTGTCGTGGTGTGTGTGTGTGTTTGTCCTTCACGCAACACTCAACTCAACGCACAACTCAAAAACTTCTGGACCGTTTAACATCGAAAAAATATTTGTAAAAAATAATGAAATATAAAAAAAAAAATATTCTATATATGCACAAATAATAAAAATAACAAAGTAATAATAAAATAAAAACAAAAGGGAAATTTGAACCCCATACTTCGATTAACTTTACACTCAACACGTTCACTTTTACCGCTCAGCTACATTTGGTAATATTACACCCCTATAATACAATAACCAGCGGATCGGGCGCATCGACTATATACAAAGATATGGCGCAACAGGGCGAGGATTTGCAATCTCAGATTATCTTGTTTATATATGCATATAATTATATTTCATGTTTTCATTTCCATTTAACGATAATATTTAAAAAAATAAGTATACATAATAGACAACTGTACACATGGCATTCAAAAATTGGTTTGGTAAGTGGCCGTAGTCAATTAGTATGCCTCTTCAAGATAATATGAACATTTTTTTATCGATTTTACCAATATCACATTTTCACACATTGACAATGAGGAGGATTTTTCATTATATTGGGAAAAGGGTCAAAATGTACATAAATGCCATTATTTTTTTCAGTATACAGACAGAGGGTTTGAAATCTCAGGTTATCTTGGTTTTTTTATTATTGATTTCAGAGATTTCAGATGAAACAAAGAAAAAAGAGCATATTGAATCGGAAAATAAGTTTAATCCTATTGTTAATGCTGGACTACAAGCCAGAAATGATGGATACTCAACTGAAAGCAACCTGCGGACAGTCATTAAATTGGCTTTGAATCTGTACAATATCCATAGTAACTCAATCACCCGCATTGACTCAATCTCAAAGGTTCCAATACAAGGTATAGCAAATCTTGTCAAAATATTTGGTGACACGTTGAACATTCTTCAACGGAATAATCCACCACCGGAGGCAACAAACATTTTGCCTAACCGACTGAAACAAATATTCGATGTAGTGAGGCCATGCTTTGATAATATTCAAGACATGAGTGGGATTGTTTGGACTGGAAGCACAAGTGAGGGTTTTGCAATACCAGATAACAGTGACCCTGACACACCTTACATAGACCAGGAAATGGACCTTATGATTCCTCTCGCCATGGCCACTGAAGGTTCCCAAAAGGGTCCTTCAGATATGGTTGCGATGCAAAGTTGCAAAGCCAATGAAAAAGACATTTTTAAGAGGGAATATGTGGTAACAGAACTAGAAAATATTGGAAAGCGTCAACTGTCTAAAGATTTCCCATCCTTTATTTGGATTCCTTCAAGCAATGCTGGTTATGTATTCATCATTGTTCCAGAAAGTATGCAATCTTGCATTAGTGAAGATTTCACCAAACACGTATGCGCACGTTCGCACGAAACTAGTAATCTGTTTTTAACGCGTTCAAAGCTACTTGCTATTCAAGAGGAGTACACTAGAGGGCGACTTTCAGCCGTACAGTCTGATATTACCAGTGAGAGAAACAATATAGACGGTCAGTTTCAAGGTCAATTGAAGCTTGTTCAAGAGGGACCCGTGCAGACAATTTCGGTTAATTATCAGTTACAAGAAATTGGTGGTAAGTTTCTTCGACCTCGTAAATCTCTTTAAATTCATAATATATCAAAATTGTATTATATTTTGAATAGTCATTTCTTAGTGTTTGATTAATTTGGTATATATTATTAATGTTATAATCAACAGGCTCTCTATTAGAGTTCGATCAAACCGTTGATGTTGCTATTGCTCTGAAAGGAGTCGATTGGCCAACAATCGCCAACCCCTGGATATCAAGAGAGCGAAACTGGCCTGAAAAGACAATTGTGAATAAGATTATTGAAGGAGGTTATCACATTGTTCCCAAATATCATCCCGGTGGTAATGGTATCGACCTGGAATGGCGATTGTCTTTTTCCGTAGCTGAACGCACATTAGCTCACACCTTTACAGATAATCAACGAAAGTGCTACATGGTTTTCAAAAAACTATGGAGAACGTACTTAAAGGTGGGAATCAAAATGAGTTACTACACAGTTTGTATATTTGGGTTGTTCAAGTTAGCATACTTTAAAATTATTTTCATTCATTCATTTATACATCAAATCATTCTTCATTATTACTTATTCTGTTTCTCTTGTCTTTAAAAATATATAATTAACGTTCTTTCTTAAATTATTCAATCATTATTTTTTACATTATATTTTAATTATTCAAACTCGAAGTTCATTACATTTAATACTTATTTCTACATTTACTAAACAAAATTTTGTATTACCATTGAAGCAAAGATCTCTAATAATAAATAAGTATTTAATAATTATAATTATGAATAGTTATACCGGTAACTTACAACCTCGTTGAATTTCAATGTCATCACTTATTTTGATACTGTTATTGTCTACCTTATAATAAGATGAATAAATATTAAATTGAATAAACAATTCAAAACACAAAAAGTTTGGTTTAAAATTACCAGCGACCTCCAAATAACACTCATGCTAGTAAAATGTTTTGCCTTCTGTACAACTAGGTTCCAAAGGTTGTTTCGTCCTACCATATCAAGACCACTATGTTTTGGCTGTGCGAGAGAGCATCTTCAAGTTTATGGAAGGATTCTGATTTAGGTTACAGATATCTGGATCTTCAAAATTTTCTCATCTTCTTTTTACAAAGAAGAAATGTACCAAATTTCTTCATTCCTGAGAACAATATGTTAAGTAATGTAGATCCAACTGATATAGATGTAGTTTTAGCAAAAGCCCAGGACATTCGGCGTCACCAATTTGAACATCATAAAAGTCTCGTTACGCCATCATCGGCTTTTCATTTTGCTTAGTACCAACAAGTAACCACACGCCACAGGTCTTGCTCTGTAAGTTAAGACTACAAAAACAAAACTTGCATTTTTATTTCATTCAAATAGACGACATTATTATTATTATTATTATTATTATTATTATTATTATTGTTATTATTATTATTATTATTATTATTATTATTATTATTATTATTACATTATGGTTCTTAAGCAATTTACAATATACCTTATTAGGCCTAAGTAAAAATTCAATAAAAAATTATATTTATTTAAATATCGGTGTTAGGTTGATTACTTTAGTGAAGAAAAGAACTACTTTGAAGGAGAAAATAATATGCATAACTAATTTCGCCAAGAAGTAATAATTAAAGAAATTTGAATTGGGATTGATCCATTATTCTAAAGCCGATATAAAAAATACGAAATATATAGGCCTAACCTCCATTTCAAATTGTCTATTTTACGTTAATAGCAAGATGCATTGTACATTTTATTTGCATTCAGCATACCGTAATTATTGAAAAATTATCTAAGCCGTTTAGTTAAATACGCTTTTTAACATTAAATCTGTTTTCACTAATTTAAAGACGTATACAAATAATTAAATTGATTACCATCCGATAAAAAGAGTCTATATAAAATAAATAGGCTTAAGTGTTTGTGTATATTAAATGTTAAGTAGTTCACATAATGAATATTATTTTACAAGTTTCTTTAGCTCATCACAAAAAGCAGGTGTTTAAATACTATATTGTACATAAATGACAAAATGTCGATGTAAACTTTATATAGGTTTTAAGAGATTGTTGAAGTAAGCTAGTGTATTCATACACAATTATAACTCAGTTATTTTGTCGATTATGTGATAATTATCTATGTTGTATTTTGTGTATAAGTACACCCTCTATATGGTTATCATCTGGAAAGAGGTAAACATCCAACGAAGGTAACCGCTACCATTATTTCTTTGTACCGTACTCCACAAGGAAGAATTTTAATAGCGGCTAGTAAATATAACATTTAAATTTATAAATAGGCCTACTTACAAAAAAATTTACTATGCAGATTAATTGTTGTAGTTTAATGTTAAATGTTATTAGAAGTATTTTTTTTTCCTTTTGGAAAAAAAAAAGAATTCTTAATCTGAATCTGGATGTCAGTGGCGTATATAGGGGATGACACCCCCAAAAAATGACTCGC